ATAATTGGGATGGGAGTGTCAGAGACAGTGCGATTGGCACAGGACAGAGCGGAGTTTAGGGCTGTTGTACATAGGGTCGCTATGAGTCGCAGGCAACTCGACAGCACATAACAACAACAACACCTTAAGTGTGGACACATAGCCTTGCAAATCATTAACAGCTATGAGATCAATATAAGAGAGTGCTTTCCACATTGTAAAAAATGACAGTGGAGTGATTATGAAGAAATTGTGGTACTGCTGTGAAGAGACTGTGGCGACGTGTAACCAGAGAAACCTTGGCGGTAAAGGCCACAGTTAAAGATTTTGCTTGCTGGATAGTTGACTGAGGGCTGTGTTGTAACTGCTCTGAGATGAAATCTGCTGGATGATGGAGGAAATCAGAGGCTTCTTGCATGTGTGCTATTGATTTCAACTTGGACTTTCACTAAATGATGCCTTGTAATCTGTTGCAAATATGAACCAGTACTTGGAGAGGGATGTCATGTTTGGGAGGAGGAAGTGACAGTGAAGGAAAGACCCTCGATGAGATGGACTGATTTAGTGAGTTGGCAATGGGGGCAGGTGTAAAGGAGATGGTGAGATTGGAACGGGATAGGGCATAGTTTAGTACTGTTGTACATAGGATCGCTATGAGTCGCAGGTGACTTGATAGCACATAACAACAAAAACAACAACAACAATCTGGCTTGAGATGCTTGAGTATACCTGAACTTTCATTATGATGTATCCTTTGACTTTCCTACTATCCAACCTTTTTTCTTAATAAAGCTCACAACAGTGAATAAAATCAGTGATTCTTACAATGAACAAAAATTGGATCCAGTGATTGATAAAAATAGAAGCAGAACTATGTGAGGCATGTCTGACTATGTAGCTATTTGTGTGGTGCTATGTGCATTATTGATGGGGACAGTTCCCCTTATTAAGTGGGTAGAAGTCACACTTGGACATCCTTATGTTTCAACTGCTTCTTTTACAACTGAACTGGTAAGTGACATGATAGATGGAGAGGAGATTAAACTTGTTAATATTTCATTTTATTTGTGTCTACTGTCAATACCCTTAGTACGAGAAGTCAGATGAGGAGACATATTTCATTGGTTAGTCTGCTGTCCAGAAAATCTCCAAAATACTTAAGAGCAATGATGTCAAATTGAAGACTAATCTATGCTTGATTCAGACCAGAGTCTGTTTCATTACTTGTTATGCATCTGAGAACCAGACAATGTATTTAGATGACTAAAGGAAATTTGATGCTCTTGAATTGTGGTATTGCAGAGAAGTACTGATTATCCCATAAACTGCCAAGAAAACAAATAGGTGTGTCTTGAGAAAATTACACCCAGAGCACTCCTTAAAGAGTTGTTGGTTAATCTTTTTCTCAAATGCTTTGGGCATGTTACTACTAGGAGATATTCCTTGGAAAGGAATATCATACTTGGAAAGGTGAAGGTTCATCAAAAAAGAAGATCTTTAATGAGATGGATTGAAAGTGACTGCAGCAATGAGCTCAAGTGTGTCAGAGAGATGGTGCGCATGGCACAAGATAGGATAGGGTTTAGATCTGTTGTTTATAGGATCACTCTGAGTCATACTTGACTTGATGTCAGCTACCAATAACAGGAACTGCTACCAAAGACCCTGACCACTTTAAATTCTTAGGATGTCTTTTGATCCCTATCTCCTCTCCTTTTCTGCAAGAAGTCTGACAAAAGAAGACTTCTGAAAACAGCCCTGTTCATCCCTGTTCTATTCCCACATTTATTTCAAGGGTATAGTTTTTTATTAATACACTGACCCCTTTGTCTTCATATAAAAAAGTGTACTTTACTGTCAGTTATTTGATACCATAATTTGATATTTTTACCATCTGTCCTCATTTTTTGCTTTATTCCCTTTAAGCAACTTTCACTGCCAAAATTAAATACAAGTCTATCGATGTGTATAGTATGTGAGTTATGTCTCAACTTTTGTTATATTAAAAAAGTTGTATATAATTACATGTGAAAATACAATGTTTTATGGCATATTTATCCAAATGGACTAAGTGTTGCAGTCTGCATATCCATGGTGAGTTGTGCTGCTAACCACAGGAACTAGGTACTCCTCATAGCTTTTTCAGGGCTGAACATTCTTTTAGTGAAAGAGAAAGAAATCAAAGCTAAACTTACCTTTATTATTTCTGTTTCTGGTTTACTTTCCCCCCCCCCCCGGTCAATTGACTGTTGTTGAGCCTAATAATAGCAGTAAAAGATGCTCATTTCATTAATCCAACTAACACTAACCTGATATCCACAAGGAACCACAAATTTTACTAAGTCAAACATTCTTCTGGGTCATACAACCCTGGTCTGTCTGTTTGCTGTACAGAGGTAATGTGTGGTTGCTGTGAAGCTGAACACTGACACTGATGTGTGAAATGCGATAATGGTTACCTATGGTGGACAGTGTTTGGTGGAACTCCCTGATTAAAACAAGCTTGGAAGCAGAAGTGGCATCCACTTCCGAAATAGCTTGCCTCAGGAAACCCTATGAACCTGGAGAGAGGATGAAAGTTATACAAGTGTCCAGGTCTTTCACTCATAGGGTTGCTATGAGTCTCCTGTGACTCAACAGCAATTAATAACAACAACATCCTGGAGGAAATGCAACCAGGGTGTTTAAGAGAAAATCAACGTGAAACATCATCTCACATTTTGGGCATGTGAGGGGTCAGTCCTTGGGAAAGGAAATCATGCTGGGATAGGTGGAGGTTCAGAGAAAGAAAAGAAGATCATCAGGGAGATGCTCTGACACAGTGACTGTAACAATGTGCTTGTGTATATCAGATATCATGAGAATGGCACAGAATAGAGCAAGGTTCAGAACTGTTGTTCCTAGAGTTTCTGTGAGTCAAAGTCAACTCCCTGGCACCTAAAAACAGCAACAATTCAACTTGAGAAGTTCAGCAAGGGAAACCATTGAGGGCTCTCGAAAGGGAAGAGTGTTGTGCTTCTTTGAATAATACAGTGTTCATTGATTTAATGCACTTTATAACATACCGCAGTAGGTAAGGAGCTGTGCTTCCAATCCACAGGCAAGCAATCTGAATCCACAAGCTGTTCCACGAGAGAAAGATGGACAGTTTCCTCTTGTGCTATTTACTGCCTTTTAAAAATTTGCAGGAGGGTCAACTATAGGTCAGTTCCGATCTGATGGCACACAGCAACAGTTCGAAAAATATATTCCATGAAAAAAAAATTCTTTCATGTATCCAGCACGTATCTTAAAATTTTTATTTTGAAAGCATTAAAATAAAAAAATATATTTAGAGATAATTTAGTGTCAGAAACATTTTTCAAATTTGATTCTTTTTCTCTCCTTTATTTTGTCATTTTCTTCATTTAATATGCACATGCATCCAAATATGCATATTTTTTCTTATGTGATTTATGTCTAGTCAATTGATATTCTTGTGAACAATATAAAAACAACTGGTGCTTGGAGAAATAGAAAATCTTTCAACAAAGATGTTATATGTCCTTCTTTATTAAAAACATTTTTCTTTAGGGATCTTACTGTAAAAAGAATATTGTTATGTGAATCAATTTATACTTTTATGCTATTAGTGTTGTAACTGTTTCAAAAAGAAATTATTTCTGTTTACTATTTATTTTTATTTAAATAAAAATGTTATTTTAAGTATAGCTATTTCTAGTATTATCAAAAAGCATATGGGTATTTTTTTATTATTATTTTAAAGATTCTAAGTAGTTTATATCATATCGATAACATTTGTTTGCTTAGCTATTGGGTAGCTTGCTCTACAAATAGTGATAAAATAGAGGCAACAAACTTTTTGTTCATTGAGAATATCCTTGTAAACGGAAAATATCTAGTTTTAAATT